AGCGCCCATTTCCGTCATATAGAGCAGAAACACCAAATAAAGGGTGTCCACAGTTAAATTGCAGCACTTTAAAAAAGCTGCTAATTTTAATAAAATCTTGGGTGAGATCACCTCATCGTGTATTGTTAACACTTAGTGAGTTTCATTGTGAAATTTCTAGTAGTTTTTAAAATGGAGTCGAAGGAACAACGCTTGCGCGAGAAAATTTTGCACATTCACCTCAACTACCAACATCGTCCGCACCGAGCCAGAAGATTTTTTTCCCTTATTTACAAGGCTTTTAGCCATTGGCTGGTTCACCTTGGGAACTCCAGAAGGGAGTTCCAAAAGGTTTGTAAGAGCTGCTACAGTGTTTGTATAACCATTAACTCCATTAACATAAAACACAAATCAGTATAAACATAAAGGACATATTTAAAAAAATAAGAACTGGCGTGGTACATCTGCGTTAATTCTGTTGGATTTCCCATTGGATTGCGGTAAGTTGTCATCAGGGTTCAGGGTTGAAACGTATCGTGGTGTATGCCGGTAGTTGGAACTAGTCATTGAGGGTTACGTGGGTCGAGTAATTTAAATCATATTGAAAAGTCCGGTTGCCTTCAGGAAGATGAACAGCTTAGCAGTCCGAACGGGATCATCGGAGAGGTCATCCCGGATGCTGCCGGAAATGTCGTAGCTTCTCCTGGTTCCATCGTATTTCGGGCATATGCAGATGAAGTGCTCGACGGTCTGTGGGATGTGGCAGTGGTCGCATATCCTCCGGAAGGGTCCGTCCCCCTTATAGTTGTGGGAGACGTTTGTGTGGCCGGACCGGAGTCGCGATAACACGACCTGCTCACGGTGGAGGGGTGGATCCTCCCATCTGCTGGTGTCCCCTTTTATCTTCCGTATAAACAGTATACTTCCGGCGAGCCAGTCCCGGCTCTAGGATTGATCTACCGTCTTGGTGACCCACTTCTTCAGATCTTGCCCGGGGACCTTCCGGGTATATTTGGCCATACGACGGCCTGATCCGGCGAGATGATCAGCTTCCTCATTCCCTTTTACACCTCAATGTCCAGGCAACCAAATGAATACCGTGTTGGGTGGCGCGTACTGTATCCAGGGGTGCCTGCTGGTTGCGGATTCAAGTGCAGTGACTACACTAGCAGAGTCTGTGAAAAGTGCGATTGGCCGTGTATCCGGGGTAGTAACTGCGATAAAAGCTGCGGCTGCCTAGGCGGAAAAAATAGAGCACTCATCCGGGAGCCTGTGACACTCCTTTAGGTGGTCAGCGGAGATGCCGATGCCCACCCTTTTCTGGGCTACGGAACCGTCCGAGTAACGGATGGCGTATCCAGCGTACTTCCTTCTCTGCAAATCCAATACCGCCTGATTTACCGCAGAGGGATTCGAACCAGCCTTTGGCGGTTTGTTCCAGCCTCTGGCTTGTTCCAGCCTCTGGTTCCAACCCAATGTGTCTTGCACACTGGGGGGAGAGCTCGGTTGGAGATTTCCCTGAGGAACTTGTTGGCCTCCTTTAGGAGGGAACCTTTCTCGTCTGTACCTGACGTTATCTCATTCAGCCCGATGGCACGTTTGCATATAGTCCCGGTAATCAGGCGGTCGAAGGGGAGTACTCCTCCCTCAATGCAGTCGGCGATCCCGGGGGTACCAGGAAGGAGTCCGGAAGAAATCCGAAGTGCTTGCTGGCGTGGTTCCACCAGGCGCGGTTTGGCAAGGTACGTAGCCTGAGGTCCGGTTGGCGTTAGGATGTCGGCCTGCTAGTGTCCTCAGGATGTTTAGGCGCTGTTTGCAGGCACTCTTTACCTCGTTCAGGTGCGTGTTGAATGTAGGAGAGCGGTCGAAATGCACAAGAAGTATCCGAAGGGTTATTCTGAACGTAATTACCTCGTCCTGGATGCTGATCTTCGTGCTGAGGATCCGGTGATTCGACGGACAAATATGAGTGTCCCGGTTTTTGCTGCGGACATCTGGAATCCCGCGTTTGATCCCAATTCGAGATGTAGGCCGTGGCTTGAATAATTTTTCTTCGAAGCGCTTTGACAGTCTCCTTAATTGCCATAAGGACGATGTCGTCTGCATACACGAAAATGAAGATTCCGACCGGGAGCCAGAAGATGTTGGGAATCCAACAATCTACTGTTTCTCGTATCATACAACATTTCGGGAAACGTTTAACTGTAGATCGGATGCAAGTGAGTGCAAGAAAAAGTGTTCCGTACTGCGTTGAAGATCACAAGCGAGTGGTTGATGCCTTCAAACGCAAACCGTTCGGGATGTCGCGAAAAACCAGCACCTGACAAAAAGTTCCGTGCAGAAAGCCAAGAGACGAGCAGAACTACGTTCATTCAAGGTTCAGAAAGCAGCAAACCACAATGAACAACAGAATATGACAGCTAGAACGCGGACACGTAGACTGTACCCACCCTGTGAAAGACAAGTTCAATGTTTCAGAGTCCCTCAGGATACTAACAACTGGCAGGCGAGTTGTTCGTGCGGAAAACGGAGCAAGCTTTTCGTAACAACTACAACCTATAATGGCCAAGTCTACATGAATGAGTGCCTGAAGAAACCACTGCTAACGTTTCTCAAATCACACAACGCTCCTACATTTTTTGGCCGGATCTAGACTCTTGTCACTACTCTAAGGACGTTCTGGAGTGGTACAAGACGAATGGAATTTATTTCGTGGCGAAGGATCTCAATCCCCCAAACACACCCGGCCGATCGAAAGATACTGGCCTATAATGAAGCACGAACTTCGTAAGCATCCTAAAGTTGTCACAACGGAGCAGGAAATATTGAAATCATGGTTGAAAGCATAACAAATGTCGGTTGTACAAAACCTTATGGGTGGAATTAAGAGGAAAGTTCGGCAATTTGGATTTGGTTAAGAGATAGAGTGAAATAAAGATACGTAAACCAAGCCTATATATAGTATTACATTCCCTGAAAATTTCATGACAATCGGTTGAGAGACTTATTTTTGGCGAATACTTATAAGTGATGCAATTTAAATGTGGACACCCTTTAAATCAATGATTTCGACGTGAACGAATCAATTATTATACATTTGGTACGACAGTTTAGTTCAAAAGGTATGATATGAATATTTACATCCATTCTTTTCAAAAACAAAAGAAGCGCCCCGAGCGAATCCATATGTTTCTGCCTTCATCCGTATGCCGAGGTGAGTCCAATGACGTTTCAATTTGTTTGGACGGAATTAAAACTCGTATGACGGAATTGGAAGCAGTGTCAAATTGTTAACAATATCTCAACAGTTTGTGACTCAAATCTTATGGTAAGTATGGAAAGGCAAATAACTTCAGAAGCCATCTTTGATAGAACAATTTCATGTTTTGTTCAAACCAGTTCAACGCAAATGATAACTTGGCTCTGTAAAGTTTATTCGATTGAGCCTGTACAAATAAATTAAGCAAACTAGTTCGAAAAGGAGATTTGTAAAGTGCGGAATGTGCTTAGTATGACGAAAATGAGATCTTAACCGTATAGAATTGATGTCCCTACCATTGGGTCCATACACAAAGTTCGAAGGAGGCATTTGTTTGGCAATGGTGCCACATTGTTCTACAAAAAAAGTTGAAGATTCATAGGCGTCCGGTATTCCTACATCTAAAATCAATATGAGCAAAAACAGCAAACACTGCATGACCAAGTCGGTGATTCAAGTGCATGAAGTCACCAGCTGTTGTCGGCTGTCCCTCGAATTCACGCAACGAGCAAAACAAACGAACGAAACCGGAATCTCTTACGTCATCCGAGACTCTCTTCTTCCAGAACTTCAGTGTTCAACTTGACGGCGCGAGTGTCTCGGCCGAATGCGAATTTTTATCGCATCGAATCACTTCCTCGCGCACATATCGCGCTCGGTGTTGATAATTTGCCAATCACAGTCACCGTCAGGCCAGTAAATAGGTGTACCGCTATCTTCGTCAAATATACACATTATAAACTGGGGGGGCGACTACCAACGGGAAGCTCCATCGTCATCGACATGATCATCATCATGATCATCAGTCAGTAAGTCAGTCAGTGTCGTCGCCGGGTGCATTTCAGAACGCCCGGCCGTGTCTTATTCATCATCGTGTGCTTCCCTCTTCCATCGTCGTCGTGTGTCGTCGGAGCTGCGCTATTGGCCGTGTCTAGTAATAGTAGCTAATTTTATAACGTAGTTATTTTTCACTCTCTCCTCGTAGTCGCTAATCGCACAGTTAGATGTTTATACTCTCGGCATGGGCACTGACTTCGGACTAGTGCTGATATTTGATATTTTTTCGCCGTCATTGGCTCTACTTGTTGCTCGATCATCACCCAGGCAAGCAACGATGTGCCACATGGACGAGCACAACACTTTGAACGATTCACACACTCGACAAAGCTCAAGAAGACTATTGTTGTGGTGTTCCACCGCGCACTCACCGACCAAGCAGGCCGCGATCAACACTGTTCGAGTCATACTCGCCGTCGGTGGTGTTTGAGCCACTCTTCCATGTGTTTGTAGTTACATACTCGATTGGTCGTTTCTATCGTAGATAACACTATCAACACACAAGGCAAACCCACCCCCCACCCCCCTCACCCTCACCCTCACCTCACACACTGCACACGGTACATGTCATTTCCTCCAACGTCAGCTGCCTATTGATTCAGGTCTATTCACTCTCTTCGGCCCTCAATGGCAGCGGTGTCTCGTACTTTGGATGATTAATTTCTGCTACCCATCACGCCACGCCACGATTTGATAATAACAGCAAAATCGAAGCTCTTTGATAACAGAGGCAACAAAAAAATCAATCCCTAATACTTCGCAAAACCGCAGTTCTCGGAATGGAAATTCCTCGGCATTCAATACGCGCACCACAATACAAAACGACCTAAATCCTATTATGTTGTATAAATTGATATAAATAGCACACTGTTCAATCTCAGTACAACAACACCAAGAAGAAGAAGAAGACGAACAAGAAACGCACTTGAATTACTCGCCCAAATTGAAAAGTACTTTTCCTAATTTGCCTGCCGTCGTCGTCGCCACTGGCTCTGGGGCTGTTGTGCTCTGATTTCGGAACTGCGATGAATAATTGAAAGCAAGCAGCAGTCAACGCAAAGGAAAAATCGCGACACGGTCGATCACGGACACGAGAGAAGCAACAGCCGGACGACGAAACCGTTCAAAGTGGACTGAATTCAAAGTGTTACTTCTTTTCGTGTTTTGATAAGAATATCAATTTTTCAATTCGTCAGGGATTGAGAAGTCGCGGATCGGCCACGGTTGATGGGGCGTTATCGCGCTGCTGTGTCCAAAGCCTGCCCCATGACAGGGACGACATGCGAGTGAGCGAGTGGCGTGGAAGACACCCGCTTGCTGTGTGTGTGTGCAAAAATCAGTGGCGTGCTTGGGTGATTGTGAGGGGGGCCAGTGTTAGATGGTTGGAAATGTAATTTTAATGTTAAAATTTTGGAACTTTTCTTAAATAGTTCTTTCCAGCGGGATTTGAGCTAACAACCTATCAACTAAAAGCTAATTTGTTTATTATCCAGGTTGGAAGCAGTTCCAACCAGTGCGAACCCGTGCTTATTGTCAGTGCGAAACTCAACCCAAGCTAGGTTACAAAAACAAACGTTCACACTGACGTTTGACGAACAACGTTGTAGATGGAGATATTCTATGCTTTTGGAAAATTAGAAAGCTGCAGTATCCTTGATCGGCAGCCAAGTGAACGAGTTTTTAACATAGCTGGGCTGACCGTATCTGCACGTCGGTGAAGCATCCACCCTAACAATGAGGATAAAACTATCTTCATTCATGACAATTACAGCATTTGCAAAAAAAAAGAGTTTTGCAGTAAGCAGTGGCTTACTGACGAGGATCGGATTAACATAAAGATGAATAAGTGACTATTATTAACAACACGTTGATATTTGACCTTTTTTTGAATCTCTTACAAGTTGTGCGGGATTCTACGTATATCCGAAAGACATCATCTTCAAATACATAAACAAAAAGTTATATGACTACAATGCGTGTAGATTCAAATATGTATCAGAGTAATAAAAGCATATAATTTATCGTGTAATGCTCAATAAATGAAAGAATTCCTAGGGCCCATTAAAATGTTACGTAATGCAACAGATTGCTTTTACATACTATCTCACTTTGCCATACAACTCCACCCTGTAATATTAACAACGGCCAATGAAATCTGCTCAAAATTGAGTAAAATTTACTCATATTTGAGTTCAGGTTACTCAAATTCGCGAAAACGTAGGTCACTCATAGAATGAGTAAATTTTCCGAGGAAAACTTCTCGAATAGGGTTTTCGATCTAATTTCCGGAAGAAATTTCCAGGAGACACTGGGAGAAACTTCCTAAGGTAGATTGGAAGAAACTTCTGGAAAAAGTCGGACGCCAGAGGGCGTACGGTACAGTTGAAAGATACTTCAAGGAGAAGATGGGAAAATATCTGGAAGAAATAGATATCTGGGGGATGTTAGCACAATATTCCCTGAAGTTCCATCAATTTTCCTGAGATTAATAAAACATCCCTGAAAATCCCACAATGTCCCTGAGGTTTTCGGAACATTCCTGAATTGCACTTCGGAATATCCCATAATTCCCCGGAACTCCTTGAAAGTTCTTGCAATTTTCCTAAGGTTAATGGGGCTGTTTTGAAGTTCTCTGATCATCTTCGAAGTACTCGGAACTTCCCTGATTATTATGAAACTACCGGAAAATCACTTATCTTCTTTAAAAGTCCCTGGATCTTCTTTAGCGCTTTCAATCATTTTTTTTTTTTAAATTAATGAATATCAGCATTAAAGTTCTCTGATCTTCCCGATTTCTTAATTTTTTTAAAGTTCTCGAAACTGCCGATAAAAACACTGAGCTTCCCTTAAAATGTTTTCACAATTTCCTAATGTTCATGTAACTTCCCTTACGTTTCTAACATTTTCACGAACCTCTTGGAACCTAACTGAAGTTTTCGGAAATTCCCTGAGTTTCTCGGAACTCATTTAAAGGTTCAGAAATCTCTTTGAATTTATATGTCCTGATGTTCTCAGAGCTTCCCTAAAGTTATCTCAATTCTCCTGAAACAAATGGAACTATCCTGAAAACCATTAAATTTCTTTGAAGTTCTTTGGGCTTTTGAAGTTTCCAAAATATTTCAGTTTCCTTAAGTTCATTGAAGTTCTCTGGGCTTTCCTGAGATTCCCAAGTTCTCGAATTTGAACAGAAGTTAGGGTCTGTTCATAAACTACGTAGACAGTTTTTTTGGGATGCTTGACCCCCCCCCTCCCCTCCCCCTGCGTAGACAATTGTCCATACAAAAATTTTAAAATTTGTATGGGCCTTGGGAATTATCTCAAACCTCCCCCCCCCCTAAACTGTCTACGTAGTTTATGAACAGCCCCTTAACGAAACTATCCGAACTATTCTAAAGTTTTAGAACTTCTGAAAAGTTCCTAAAGTTTTCCTGAAACTAATGGAACCGAAATAATACTCTGGAAGCATTTCTGAAGTTCCGGGGTAGTTGAAAAAACTGACGGGAGGAGAAAGAAGAACCTTTCGAGCGAAGCCAGAAGAAGCTTCCAAGGGAAGTCGAAATAGCTTTCCGGAAGGAATCGGAAAATAACTTACAGGGCAGGGTAAGGTGGACGGAAATTCCTAGGGAAAGTTGGAGGAAACTTCAAAGGGAAGATTAAAGAAATTTCAGTAAGTTTAAAAATTAACGTTTTTATGGGCCTTTTTTTTCCACTCAATAACAGTATTTCCCGATTTACAGAAATTATTGGGATGAACCATCAGCTGTTTCTCGGCTCCTTGGTTACCAAAAACGCGAGGAAATGGAAGCATTAGTCGAAAGAGTATCAAGCATAAGACATTTTTGAAGATGACATTTGTTTAGAGCAGGCTCAAAAATTTTAATTTTCAAGTAGATAAAAGTCTATCATAACAGTTTCCTCTGACAATTCAGTGCGGGCAGGCAGTTATCATTTTGATTATTAATAAAAAAAAATCGGTATAAATCGGTACTAAAACTCAAAAATCGGTATTCTGAGAAACCTTATCTGAATATCGGTATCAAGTTTGAAAATCGGTATGAATACCGATAAATCGGTATATCTGGCAACGCTGAGTACACTTCTAACCTGTGTACAATTTCCTCATGCTTTGAGTGCCGACGTTTTATCAATTCTGAGTAATCTGAACTCAAATGTGGATAGCATTTTTTGTCCATGTTCAATTGATTTGAAAAGCATTTTTTTAAATCTCCGTTGTTTTCTGCCCCCACCGCTTGCAGAAAACAACATATCACACCGCCGTCTAAAATATTTTTTCGGTCTGATTCGGACCCCATTTAGAACAGTTTCAGGCAAAATAGCGGCGCTGGTGGTGTAGTGCTAAGCGTGACTGCATCTCACTCTAAATAACCTGAGTTCAATCCCAGTCGGCGCCGTCGGGATTTTCTTAGGCAAAAACTCTCTTATCATGCCGTTCCTTGGAAGGGAATAAGGAAGGACGTAGGACCGCTAGTGGACGGAACAAATATATTGAGCATTTAGTTCTTTTAATTGATCGATAATCTATTATCTTAACCCTTTTCGTTTTTGAATTGATGGCCCTGCTATACTTTCTTTTTTTGTTTATCAATAAAGAGAAGAGTTAATAATATTTGTCACTAATGCTTGATTGCATCGAACAATTAAGTTTAAATATCGCAGAAATATATTACTTTTCAAGTGCAAGAGGGGGTTCATCAAAATCAGCCATATTCAACAAACAAGTTTGATAAGGTGCCGACGTCGGTGTTAATCAAATAAATTAAAAAAAAAATCATTTGGCAGATTCTCCAAATAGGGATGATACTGAAAGATAACATAAGTTGTACCTTACCACCATAAATGCGTATTTGTTGCGGATCCGGCTGCAACTACGAATGCTCTTCCTTTCCCTCTGTTCTGACGATATTTGCTAGCTCCGACCAGCTCAACTATCAGCCAGCAACTGATGGTGGAAGCAATTTGGCAGTTGTTTTTATGGACGCTGCTTTTTGCCTTGGGGCCTCCCTTAGTTCAGTCGGTAAAGGCGCAGCTACAAAGCAAGACCATGCTGGAGGTGGCTGGGTTCAATTCCCGGTCCGGTCTAGGAATTTTTCGGGTTGGAAAATGTCTCGACTTCCCTAGGCATAGAAGTATGATTGGACTTGCCACACAATTATACCAATGCAAAAATGGTACAGGCATCGAAAGCTCTCAATTAATAACTGTGGAAGTGGATCTAGAACACTAAGCAATAAGCTAATATGCGATATGCAATAAGCTTGAAATGTTAAGAAGAAGCTTTTTGCCTTCCCTCATTCTAGCATTATTCTGAGTAAATTACTGCTCATTTTCAGTCATGCTTGTGACGGACGCTTATTCGTCCGTTGTTCGAAAGTAAATTATGAAATTATTACGATTTGGCAAGCGCTTTCATTACCGCTGCTTTTCTCCTCCCTTCATTTCATTGGTGAACTGGTGAGCTGCCAATGGAGCATTTAGCTCGCTTATGTGAGCATGCGCAATGTGCCGTGCGTTCGATTTGCGCTCTAACGGGTGGTTGAATAAAAAATGAGAATGATTTCAATACCTTTCTGCAATTAAAGTAAAGAGCGTAAATTTTTTTCTCTCCAAGAGAATTGCTCTCTGGACTTCCTAAAAATGGGTGGCATGTTTTTTTTTTCGCTCAGGTGCTGTCAGTTCAATCGAAGATGGCGTCGAAACAGCAAGCACAACGCGAGCGTGTTGTACGGTTTAACGAAACGCATGGTCATCGCGGAAAAAAGTTTGTGGTAGACCACTTTCGAGACGAAAACGTGTCCGTGAGTACAGTTTACCGGATCCTGGCATCCCTGAGCTTGGAGCGGAAGGCCGGTAGCGGCTGGTAGCGGCCGTCCGGCGAAGATAATGACGAAGAAGAAGAAGGAAGCGTTGAAAAAGCTGTTCGACAACAAGGACGGAACGAGTTTGCGTGACGCCGGCCGAAAATATCACTGCTCCCATACCTTGATTCACCGAACCCTCAAGATGGAGGGCATCATCTGTCGGAAGAAGACTCGGTCCCCTGAGTACACGGACGAGGCGATAGC